AATATATATTAAATTAAAATTAGTAATTAATCAAAGAATAATTAACTTTTATATATAAAACATAAATGTTTTTTTTACCATAGCATTTTTTAGAGACTTTTCTTTAACTAGAAGAATTTTATATATTTTTTAATTTTTTTTATCTAATTTAGTTTTTATTAATCATTATTATACTTTTAAATTATTTTTATTATTTTAACATAAATTATTAATAAAAAATAATTAATCTGTGGGTAAATTACCCACGAATTTATCTGTCGATAATTACCCACGGATACATCCATGAGTAATTCTATGGGTAATTATCTAATTTAATTTTTATTTATCAAAATTACTTATGAATTAATTTTATTATATTTAACATAAATTATTAATAAAAAATAATTCGGTAATTATCCACAGATAAATCTATCGGTAATTACCAACGAATACATCCGTGGATAATTCCATGGGTAATTATCTAATTTAATTTTTATTTATCATGCATCAATATCATTTCACTAATTATATATTTCTCAATTTAAATAAAATTAACTATATAATATTAAAATATATTGATAGTAAATTATTATTTTATACTATCATTTAATTATAAATTATATATATGTAATAGTTGGTATGGTAAATTAATTAGCATGAGAAAATTAGTTAAGTATTTAAGAATTTAATTTGTTAATCTTTTATCATTAATTTTTTTAAAGTTACCCACGAACTTTTTTGCATTTTCTACGAACGTTTTAGACAGATAATCTGTGGGAAATATCTGTTTGAAACATCATAATTTTTCCACGAAAAAAATTCATGGGTAACATTCATATGAAATTTCAGACAGAAAAAATCTGTGGGTAATATCCGTCGGAGTTGTTTATGTTTCAGACGAACACATATCCATCGAAAAAATCTGTCAATAATGTCATTTTTCAGACAGATATTTATCCGTGGGAAAAAGTTCGTCAGTAATGAGTGTTTTTTTGTATTGCACACCATCCATACTTGTCACATGGCACCTTCCTATTGGCTAATTTAGATCTAGAGCACGCAACTTCTAGAGTCAAAAGTTTTGGCACCATTATTTGAATTTGAATTCAAATTTTCTACCAATTATTCCTACATGTATGGTCACTTTTGGAGTATTTTGAGTTTGAATTCAGAAGTTCTTTCTTCCAAAGGTCTTGTTCTATCTTTGGAGTTCATACTCCTTATAATAGCTTGTTCCTTGTGGAAAGATCTTTCCTTCTTGCTTATCATTCCTTTAAAGGTGGTGTGCTCCATTCCTTGTCCCTCCATCATATTTTTTGTTTTCTTATCATTGAAGCCATGGATGAAGATTGGGAAAGCTAGGAGTCTAGGATAGTGGAATCGATAATCATTCATAACCTTGATTCCATCAACAACTAGCCATACTTGTCCCTTATCCCACTTAAAACAAGAGATTTCCCACCCAAGGTCGACCCAAGGGCTAGGCAAACAAAGACTTCGCTTTAGACCCTTCAATAAAACATTTTATATTAACATTTATATAATTTTTTTCAAAGTTCCATAACTTAAAAGTTAGTTTTTTCATTTTTAAAAATTCACTTTAAAAGTTCTATTTCTAAAAGACATACAAATATAACTATTTTTTTAAGACTTGTCTCTAAAATATTTATATATTTTTTTATCGAAAGATATTATTATTAATTAAAAAAAAGTCTCACTTCAAGATTTGTTTTGTGCCTAATAATATGTTGAACCGATCATGTTCCATCATAACACCCTTAGGGTCAAGGTAGAAGATCATAAAGACCCTCTCACATAAACTTGCATTACCTCCAAACAAATTGTGCATTAATGAATGAACTCAATCACAACACACAACACATCAAGAATTCATAACAGACATATCATGCTAATCATGTTGTTAGGTGGATTGAGATTTTTACTAGGCTAGATCATTGTCTAAACTTCACAAATGACCAAACATAACTTAGATTCCACACTGCTAAGTTAACACTTAAACTTACTCACATCACACATATAACTCATAGCATAAGGTCTTAAGCACAAGATCTCAGAAATGTAACTTCCACACACATATATCTCAACCCATTACCTATTCATAATAGTTCTCTCAAACACTCTTTTTCTCAAGAATGATATGAGCATTTCAAATCATCCCTAAGATCATTTAAAAGGTAAAGTAATTCTAAGTTCACTCTCATTGAGCAACATAGTCTCATTGAATGATTTCCCACGTCAAGTTCACTTTCACCGAGTGAGTAGTCCCTCTCGCTTAAAAAATCAAAATAACCAACCTTCTAGTTGCTCACACTCATTAAGCAAAATGCCTTCACTTAGTGACCTAACTCACAAGGATAATCACGAGGACTTAGCCAAGTTGAGCAAGCTATTATCGCTAAGTAGACATGTAAATTGTTATTCATTATCACTAGCAAAGATTATCTTGCTGGGCGAAAACATAATGTCGAACCCAAAAGTTTGTCATGCAAAATCCAATATCACCCTAATATCTATTCCTAACATTATTAAACCAAAACTAATTGGTAAAGTCCCCCTTGTGATCTCAAGGAATTTGACCTTGGGGACATGCTAGGTTTTAAAACCCATGTTCTTTTGGTGTGTGCATCGAGTGTATCTTGCATGACATTATTGTCTTGATGCACCCTGATGTATCTTTCTCCGAATTGAGAGTGTTTGAGTGCTAGGCACCTTGGCTATTTGTTGGTCACTAGTATATCCTTTTAGGCTACTTTATGAGCATTTAGGCAATATGTGTTTTTTTACTAGCGTCATATGCATTTAGAATTACTTGAGTCTGTAGTTTCTATTGCATTGGATGTTTGATTTGTGATTGTTGTTGAGTGTACATGTTTTCTCATAGAATTGTTTATATACTTTGGATGCCATGATAACATGTGATGTATGTTTATATATATGTATTTGCTACTTATGTATTGTTTGTGGCTACTCAACCTTATCTCATACTAGAAGTCAAAGTAATACATATCTCACTTCCCTATTTGTTGTGCTTGTTTTGGTTGGTTGGACATCTTACATGTGAGGATCACCAAAAAATTGATGTTAGTAACAAGGCTTGGACCTTATGATACTTATATGAGTGGAGCTTTAATAAGATTTGACATAAAAAAAGTGTTTCTCATTTTACATTACATCAATTTTAGAATCAATGTACAATTCCTATATTAATTGATGTTAAATATCTTTATTGTAGTAAAACCATTATATTAGTTTGACCAATTAACATGAAAAATTTCTTCTAAATAAATGTATATTTCATAAAATTCACACCAAAATATAACAAATTATATATAGTATCATCACCAAAACATCAAATGTGCACAGTTTGAGTGGATATGTATAAAGTCCAATATCAATAAGAAAACAATAAATAGTAAATAAAATTTTCATGTACATGAACAAATATAATAGTTATTAAAGAAATAGTCTAATATCTATGAGAATCATTCGAAGAAGTATGAAGATAGAAAGGTAGCCAGTGTGAGAGATGCCTCCCAAAGGTATAGAAAATCTCGAGTAAGTCGTAGAAATGCATATATTCAAGGATCGCTCGAGAATCAAAAAATAGAGGGGGAAGTTACTAGCAGTTATGAGCAGTTAAGAAGTTACATCAAAGCGTCAGGATAGTTATCGAAGCAGACAAGCACTAACCACCTCTAAAGAGCTATTTGAGAGTCGAACGAAAAAATGTGTGACGAGCGATTACTCATAGTTAAAAGCAGTTGGGGAGGTTACTCAAACCACGTAGTGGGAGAGTAATTATGCTGACCACGCTAGACTCATATAATGAAACCGCCCCTCAATCAAAATTATAAATAGATAAGGAATTCTCAACTCAGGGGGTCGAAAAAATCATGCTTGAACTTTCACAAGCACTCACTACTTGCGCATACAGCTTCCATGCACGGGATTGTTGGGTATGACTTCTTAGCCACATTTTTCTTCTTTTTCTAGTACTATTTTAGTTTAGTAAGTGTAGTTTCGCAGTTTATTTTCTTCCTTAAGATCATCATATGTATTGTAAACTGGTCAATTATGTGAATTAGACAATGATTATATTCTTGCAAAAGATTTAGTCGCACATACCTAAATTGAAAAACTTAGCTAGTTTAAATAAAAAGAGCTCATAAACAAAATTTCCTACAAACATCAAGCAAAAAAAATTACTCATTTGCACAATGTTTTTTTATATATATAAAATATCCTTATTTATCACTAAATTTTTATGAGTGATGTAAATAAATTACTCTATATATAAAAACTTAGACTCCAATATCAATAAAAATACTGAATAATAATGAAGAATTTAAGAGATAAGAAAAAATATATATATTCTTACAATATTTAATAAAAAAAATTAATGCTTTTTAAAAAAAATTAAAGTACCTTATAAAATAGATAATCTATTCCTTATAAATTTATCTTATAGCTTGAACAGGAAGAAGTTGCATGTAAATGATGATAAAAATAACTTGATAGGGTTTTTGTTGTTTTTGACAGGTATATAACATGTTACTTAATTATAAATGTATCACATTAACGTTTGATATTAAGAATAATGTGAAACAATCAATTAATAAAATGTATATATATATATATATATATATATATATATATAATATTTTAAAAAGCAAGTGGTTAATATACAACATTAAAAATAATTAGTAAATAAAATATACAAAAAATCGTGTAAAAGTTCGATTAAACAAAATTTCATTGACGTTTGTCCTTTTTTAATTCTTGTTTTATACGCAATCAATTAGGTGAGGTGAGTTGAGTTGCGTCTGATCCTCGACCATTATCCAAGATGCTCTCTCAGATCACAAGGACCAGACATGATCGATGGACATGTCGAATGATTGGCACTGTCTTGCCATGTTTGAAAAAAATAGAATCATCATTCATACACCTTTATAAAAAGACTTTATAATTAAACACGAAATCATCATAGAATATAAAACTAAGAAAAATATAGAACGCACTATAGTTGTTGAGCCATCAACATTTGAGATACAGATAAATTAATCATTTCAGAACCATGTCATATTGTTGTCAATTTGTCATCCTCCCAGCAAAGAAGAAACCCCCCATTTACTATTAACTCCACGCAGAGAGAAACCATGTTTGAACTTGGAAGCGATTCCAAACTCCAAAATTGAACAAAAATCAAAAGTAAGTAATTCCTGAACAGAAATAAAATTAAACCAAGAACGAAGAAACAGAAAGAAATGAAATCCATTTACATACATGGTCAAAACTCAAACACCCCATACAACCTTAAACTTGCATGGTCAAAACTGAAACACCCCATACAACCTCAAACTGGTATTCCCTAGTAAAAAAAAAGATATATATATTTATGAGTAGATGAAGAAAGTGTGAGAAAGAAAGAGTTATATATATGTGTGACTAATAATACAATTCTAATCGTCTAGAGCAGTTGGTGCAGAAGAACTTTCTCTTGAGCTTGAAGCACATGGGCAAGAAGCAGAGTCTCCACTGGATCTCAACATCCATGGCTTCAACCTTGCCTGCACAGTAAGGGCAAGTTCCAGGGGCTTGTTGCCTACCCAGTTCCTTCTCTTCCTCATCCCACAAGTACAAGAACCACATTATTATTTTTCTTCTCTTTCTCTTCGCCTGCTACTTGTTGATTGCGAAAGGACCAAACATTTTCGCCTATTTATACAACGAATATTCCCTACCATCGCCGATTTCAATGCCTTTTCCTATTCTTTTTTCACTCACTTCGCCTTCAACTTGTGTTTTTTAACCCTCCATCTTACTCTACTCCACACGAAACCATCACGTTAATTTCTGACCCCTCTTTATATTTTATTTAATTCTTAAATTTTAAAGTCTAACATTTGAATGTTATGTTTATAAAGATAATGAACTTTTATTATTTAAAAATATATATACTAAATTTGGATATAATTTTTTTATATATGATAAATTTTTATTCAATTTTTAAAATTATATATTTTAATATTTAATTTTAAATTTTAACATATTTTATCACCTAATGTTTTCTTAATAACATTTACTACTAACATAAATTACTAATGTGACATGAGAATATATCATATTCATATATAATTGAATAATGGCATTAAATAATTAATTAAAATAATAATAAAATGACTAAATTTTAAAAGTTTGATTAAAAATCTATAATTATAAAAATTGAGTAGAAAAATATTTAATAATTAAGAATATTTATTAAATTAATTAATATTTTATTTGATTCATAAATTTAAAATTTTCATATTTCAATCTTATATTTATAAAGATAATTAATTAATAATAATATTATTATTATTTAATATTTAATATTTAAAGATAAAATTGTTTGAAAATATATATACTAAAACAGATTATCAGTTTTATATATTTTATATATTTTTATTTAATTTTTAAAATTATACACTTTACTAATATCTTCTGTGTAACATTTACTAACATAAATGACTAATATGATATACAAATGAGAATATATCATACTCATAATTAAGTAATGACATTAAATAATTAATTAACATAATAATAAAATGACTAAATTTTAAAAGTTTGATAAAAAAATGTATAATTATAAAAATTGAGTAGAAAAATTCACAAATTACATGTGAGTAAGAAAGGTTAATTAATTTTTTATATGAAATAACTTTTAAAAATTACAAAATAGGTATTGCATGTGTTTTGCACACCTTTTATGGAGGAGAAAAATACTTTATCATTGCGAATTCGTCGCAGTTTAAAATGGTTTCGTACGAAATAATAGTATCTAAAAAGAATTAGTATTAGTTTTTGGAAAAAATATTAAACAATGTTCTAGAGATACTAATTAAAGACAAAATAAATAATAATGAAAATATATAATAATTAGATATTGTCTTACTTTTCAATCACTTCCATATATATTAATTAAATGTAAATGTTAAGAGTTACTTTCTGACAATATCGATTTTACATATTTTTTTTGTAACTTCTTAATTAATTTAACATTTTTATTATTATACTTTTTATCAATTAAGATTTTAATATTTTAAAAATAAATTATTAATAATTAAAAATATTTTTTTCATTTAAATCAAAATATAATTTATATATTTAAAAAATATATATTTATATAAATTTTAAATATAATTTAATTTTCAAGTATATTATTTATTTGTATGTATAATTTATTAAAAAATTTAGTTATATATAAAAAATATTTTGTCTATAAAACACATAATACTAAAATACTATAATAAAAAACTTTTATTTAAGCACTCATTTGCGGCATTGGCACTCTTACTTTTTATCATAAATTTATACACTTTCTCTTTACTTTCTAACCTAACTCGCTTTTTACCTAAAAATTTAGGTGTAAATTTTTTAATACAAATAAAGCATTATCATAAAAATATACAAAAGAAATAAAGTATTTTCTAGTGATTTGGATGACAAATTGCGAGTTTGTTAAGAAAAGTTATTTACGAAAATTCATTTTCCAAAATGAAGCTGTACGTTGGTGAAGAGAATGAATTGTGGATAACACAAACGAACCGGCATAAAAAAGCGAAGTGTGCAATGTGCATAGATTAATATTATATTAAAAAATCTAATGAAACTTATTTTAAAAAATATATGACATTTTTTAAGGCACCGACATGACATAAGTTTTTTTTTAAAGCTTACACTTTTTTTTTAAAAAAAAAGGGGTAAGTTTTTTTATAGAGAAGTAACATAATAATTACAATAATAAATTTGCAACAATAAGAGATAGTCAATTTCATCGAAATTAAAGTTAATTTAACATAAAGTTATGAATAATATTATCACATCAACATCTCAATAACTAATAACGTAACATAATATTATTATAAATAATTTATCAATTTCAGTTCAATCAAAATGTTTAACCTAAATAATTAATGTATTATTATGCATATCAACTATAGAAATCTCTTATAGTAGGAGTAGATAATTTAAGTAGTTAGACTCTATCAAATTACAACGTTGAACCTATCGCAACTAGCTTAAGTATATACATTAGGCTTCATAGGGTGTTATATATACAATTTAAATTGATTTATTAGGTTTTATTACTTAAACTAAAAAGTCTAGTATTCCTCTCGGGCATAACAATTTGATTTATATGACAGTAGCTTGCAACATTAAGTCTCTTATAGGATTAATCCATCAATTATCCTCCAAATACTACGCCTTCTAATACTTAGTTAAAAACTAAGTCTTTGACCTTTTATTTTACTCAATTAGTCACTTTATACATGTATGTTTCGACTTTGCCCAGATATGATTTTCATATAAAACCTATATAAGACAACTTAAAACAAGTACCGATTTAGAAGTACCATAACTTATATTTACATAATGAATAATACTTTAATTTCTAAACAAGCTTTTATACTCTCCTCTAATTTTTATGTATCTCAACAAAGACACATATCTATATCACAAGCCTAACAACTTAACAACCTGATTAACTATAGCATCATATAACTTAACAACTTCATCATTATCAACTCACAACTTAGCAACATAAACATCATTATCTAGTATATCAACTTAAAACATAATGAGTTATCATCATACAACTTAATCATCATTCTTCAAGTATTAGACAACTTAGAATATCATATAGAATCACACAACTCACACTCGACATCATCCCATGGGTGCCAAACACTATTAAGACAAGGGGTTTCTTGTCTTGGCCACGTCCAGTGCCAAACCACCTGCGTTTAGCATGAATGAGGCAGAAAGCCTTCCATTTTCTCATGTTTGGCATGACAAAACTCACGTCCAACCCCAAATCAAGGAGAGCCTAACTCACATTTGAAGTCACTCCATTGACATTCAACATCACTCTTTTGGCACTCGACGTTTGTTTAAACAAAGATAATTCTCTCTCCTCACGTTTGGTGTCATTCAACTTAACATCTGACGTGAGTAAGTTAGAGATGATTCACTCTTCTCACACTTGACGTCACCAATTTTGTGTCTGAAATCAAAAGATTGGGAATCCTTGACTTTGAGCCATGCTTGACACCATAAAAGCACACTTGATGCGAAGATAGCTTTTACACTTGACAAAAACTCTAATTTCCCAATTCCATCTGAAATCCAAAAAACATGCAACAAGGAATACCACACATATACAACATATAGAACTCGAAAACAACTCCAAAAAAGCAACATGCAACCAAAGATCTATAAGAATCATCAACCCATTTTACAACCACTTCCAAGAAAGAAACCAAAACTCAAGCAATCACATCCTTATGGAATTCAGTCCAAAACAACCATCTCTTGATAAATATTAATAGCAAACAATCATCCCAATTAAATTAACAATAACCCCACACAAAGCTTCCATTACCTCAAATTGCTCCAAAGTAAGAAGAAGAAAAGAGGGGAAAAAAACTCCACACAAACTCCGACTCAAGATCTTTAGCTCCATAGACTTGGATCTCCTAGCTAATCACCTTGGATCAACAATAGGAAAGGATTGAAATCAAGTCTCAATAGAAAAAGAAAATGAAGAAAAAAGTTTGGCTCTAGAGAACTTATTTCTAATTTTTCTTAAAACTTAGAACTTATGTGATTCATGTCTTAAAAAAAAAATCTTACATATTCTTTCTTATTGAACACTTAACTAAATCTAAAATTATCTAAAAAAGAACCTAACTCTCAAGGTTCATAACTCTTAAAACTCTAAAATAATCTTCGTATATAACAACACAACAACATTTAAATCATATAATTAAATTAAAAAATACCTAAAACACACAATGTTACAATATTTTCTTTTTCTTTTTCATTTTTAATTTTGTCTCCTTTTTCAGAATTTGTACCCAGAATTTCTTTTAATGTTATAGATAATTATTAAAAGACTAAATCGATGATAAAATTATGAAAATATACATTTGGAAACTGAAGTGAGTTTACCTTTACATATATATCGAGTATAACAGGGATTAAAAATGCATGATACTAGAAAATAAAAATAAAATAAAATAAATATTAATTAATTATTCTTCTATAAGTTGGTTGAATGCTACATTAATTTAATTAATTTTAAATATCTATTAATACTTTAATTAAATTGTAAATGCACTCCTCATATTATAATGTAGATCTACCATTAACCGTAATCTTTTGGTGTTGTCTTCCCATTATCTTTTCACTGTTCAATTGTTCATTCACCCTTTTATTATCCTTTATTTTCATTTTAATTCGTGACCAATTGGTTTAGGGTCGAAAACATCAGGAAAAAAAGAGGTTATATTACATGCGAGTTTACAAAGAGGATTTTCTGGGCACAATGTTTCTATACTACTATCAATTTTATCATAATGATACGATTTAAATAACAAATTTACATTATTTTTTTTTTATCACATTATGATTATCTATAATATTAAAAATAGCCCGGTTTTATACCATACTTTATTGTACAAGAATAACTATATTAATTATTATATTATAATATCTGACAACTGTAATTATTTTAAATAGAAATAATTTATATTATTATAACTGTGATAATATGACATTAAAATAATGGAAACAAGTATATATAAAATAATTATTATAAAAATTACTAAATTTACAGCTATGTATTATTTATACCTACTTAAAAATATATTTAAAAATATAAATTATTAATATTAACATAAATAAATTATAAATATAATAAAATTAAAATTTAAATAGTGTGTAAATTA